TAAAACAAATCCAACATTAGATAAAAATAATTCATCAACAAAACAACAAACCATTAACGAATTCAAAGATTATATAAATAGATGATATTTATCAGCATCAGAAGCTGCATAGAGAATATTTCACTACCCCATAACAATATCTGATCCATCTGTACAAATTCTTCCCATTCACCTTCTTAATGCAAATATTCCTCAATATACATGCTTACAAAATAAATCAACTGTCTCCCTTCTAAATCGTTATTTTTTTCGCCCACTTGATACATATTTTGATAAATTAAAATATACTGAATATTACGAAAATTATTCATTATACCCCTTTAAACAAAACAAAGTACGTGATAACGATTTTATTGAACAAGAATACCCCAATGTATTAAAAAAAATGTAAGAAAACGCACATCAAACAAGATTACTAGAATAGTTTTAGTTATATCAGGAGCTGGCGAAGTTTTTTGTTTAAGAACAATACTAATGCATAAAGCTGCTAGAAGATGGGAAGAGCTCAAAATAGTTAATGGAAAAAATTATAATATCTATCAAGAAGCAGCACGTGAAATGGGATTATTTGCGAATGATAACAAAGGCATTCTAGCAATGAAAGAAGCTATCGAAAATTTTCATACTCCTGCACAATTACGATTTTTATTTGTTAAATTAATATTAGATGGAACACCTGCAATCAAACTATGGAAACAATTTAAAGATAATTACACAGCTAACAATCGAAACAACTTATACAATACTGATTCCATTGCTACCAATCTAACACTTCAACAAATAGCTTCAATGCTTGCGGAACACAGAAAATCAATGCGTGATTATAGACTTCCCGAACCTCAAATATGGAACCGAGAAATAATAACTGAACAAAACTGTTACTCCAACTATGCCAAATATAGACAACTTACAAATGAATATTATAGTAAAATGACCTTAGAACAAACAACATTTTATAAAAAAATAATACAATACATAACTTGGAAAATTGAAAATAAATCAATTCCAAAAAATGAATTTCCCATATTTTTAGATGGAAAAGTGGGACGCAGAAAAAATTTTTTAATCAACGCTATATATCATGCAGTTCGCGCTTTGAAAGAAATAATCTTATTATACAGAACTACTGCTTTAGCTGCTCTTCTCTACGAAGGTGGATGAACAGCACATTCATTATTCAGAATACCTGTAGAAGAAAACAACATAAACATTCAATCAAGCATCAAACTCAATAGTTCTCATGCCGAATTGATTCGAACAGCGATCTTAATAATATGGGATGAATTTCCCATGGCAAACAAAGCCGTGATAGAATGTGTAGACCAACTACTACGCCGAATTTGTGAAAATGAAGAACCATTCGGAAGAAAACTCTTTATAGCTATAGGAGACTTTCGACAAGTTGCTCTAGTTGTAAAAGGAGCTGGAAAAAATACAACAATTAATGCATCAATCAAAACTTCTTTCCTATGAAAATACTTCAAAATATACACTATAAACCAACCTATACGCAATGCAAATGATCCAATTTTTTCAGAATTCATAGATAATATTGGCGAAAATTATAAAGATGAAAATGTTTCATTAAACAATTTTAAAACTACTACAAATATTGAAAAAGCAACATCATTTCTTTATCCTGAAAACATACTTACAGATCATAAAATATTACAAAAAAGAGCCTTTTTAAGTCCTCGAAATATATTAGTAGACGATTTCAACCAAAAAATCCTAAATAAATTATCAGAAAAACCTTTTACAAGTTTCAGTTGTGACTATGTTAAAGAAAATGATGAAATCATCAATGATCATCCAACAGCTACACCAGACTACCTAGCCCAACTAACACATCCCGGAATACCTAACCATGAAATTCAACTGAAAATCGGAGCTATATGTTCTATCATGCGAAACATTTCTATCGACAAAGGATTAGTCAAGAATACACGAGTTGTAATAACTAAAATACATCAACGACTAATTGAAGTTCAACTTCTAGAAAACAATAACTTGAATAACATATCAGAAACCTACCTAATCCTAAGAATAAATTTCTATTTTCAACCAGATTATTGTTCATGAACCGTTTATCGCAAACAATTTCCGTTACGCCTCGCATACTCAACAACCTTCAATAGCTGTCAAGGTCTTACATTAGACCGAATAATCATAGATCTTAGAACACATGTATTTGCTCATGGACAGCTATATACGGCTATATCGCGAGTAAAAAATAGAGACGATGCATTAATACTCCTTCCAGAAAATAATACTGATACAAAAACAATCAATGTAGTTTATGAAGAATTAATTAAATAAATAAACATCAACATATTAAACCTTAAAAAAAATAACCTTTTTTTTGTTAATACCAAAAAAATAAATAATAACAATACAAAATAATATAATAACATTAATAACAATAATAAACAAAAAAAAAAAACAAAATCCTTAAAACAAAAAAAAAATTAAACTACTACTTACTAACTCATAACTACACCATTAAAAAAAAAAACTTCTAAAAACTTAAATATAAGTTTAATATAAACGTTCACTCCTAATAAATTTAAAATAATCACCTAAAATTAAATTACAATTCAAAATAAATATGCCACTAACCATATAAAAATACATACTACCAAAACATACATTTAAACATTTGTTTCTTATATCTTGCTACAATTATTAAACCGAAATTAAACTTTGATAAAAATAATACCTCATAAACACAACAAAACAATACTTATTCATATCAACATAATCTTTATAAAATTTAATTAGTTTTATTAAATTAACTAATAATATTCATCCTCTAACATTTGATCATTAACATTCGCAATCTATCTATAAATTAATATTCAACACACAAAATTGAACCAAATACCATTCGAATACACAAAAACTAACCTACTTTCATTATATACGTTCTGAAACTATTAAAATTATTAAAATATCAATAACAATAATAAAAAGCGTTATTAATAACAAAAATTTATCACCACACTATAAACTTTACCATATAATTCATTACAAAAAATCAATATTGACTATAATGATTAGATTCAAACCAATTTAACGACAATTAAAATTATTAAATAACAAACAAATTTTAAGTAAATTTTCTTTCAGATATAAAACAAACTCAACTTTAATTACCTATTACATGTAAAATAAAATCCGAACAATAATTAAACATAAATTCATAAAAAAAAATCACAATAAATCGATACAAATAAAAAAATTTTATAATACCCAGAACTTTTGCAATAACAAAACTAACTCAATTCAAACCACATAAAATTAAACAACCTCTAATAAAAAAATAACTCAACAACAACCATATTAAAATTAACAAAATAGCACAAAAACTTTTCTATAACTAATACAAAGATTTATACAATTTACAACACTTTAAACACATACTACCATCTTTCATAAATTATTTATATCAACATGCCACTAATCTATAATTCAATAATTATTATAAATTAACAAATCCTAATTTTAATTAATTATTAAATTAATTAATAATTAACAGGGGCGCCGGTGGCGCCCCCATTTCTCTTGTATCTTATAATTTGATCTCCTATCGATAACTTAATATGAAAATTGCCATATGTCCGAAACTCCCCGACGAGCATGCTCGTGTTTTGTGTTGGTTGATTATCCACATCCCAGAATGTTCCGATATTACTCAACCTTTTCTTTGACTTACAGCTGTTATCATTATTCCTAGGACACCTGGCAAAAAATTAGCCCGAATGATTATTCTGCCAATTCGATAAGTTATTGATTTCGGTGTGATCTGTGTACAAAAGCAATCATGTCGACAAGTTCTCCATTATTAATTTTTCGCTTGAATACTTGCCTAACATGTCTGGTGTGTTTAGTTTGTACGAAATTTTATGGAAAAGACTGTTCTTGTCAACCAATAAATCTTAATAAAAAACGTAAAAAAGGATCCGAATATAAATTAGACTTTTGTAACAAATATATTACACGAACAGGTGCCGCTATTAAAAAAGTTAAATATGAACATGAATTTGTTGACTGGTTTAAAAATGAAAAATTAATCTCTGGTTAAGATTCCAAACGACCAAGATATTATTAATATTTGTTGAGAATGCATGAAGAATTATGATAAACGAAATCCAAGTAGAAAATTTTATATGTTTATATTTGTTTATATATTTTTCGTCTTCGACAAGAAACGAAAAATAATTAGAATAAATAATGCTTTCGTTTGAACGAAAATATATCTTGCCAAAGAATAGGAATCGAAACTTGTTTTTTTTTAAAAAACGGATTTTTCATCATCGACAAGGAACGAAAAATAATTAGAAAATAATTAGAAATAAATAAATGACTTCGTTTGAACGAAAATGGATCTTGCCAAAGAATAGGAGTTGAAGTTTTATACAATTCTTTAAAAACTAATTTTCGTCGAAAAATAATTAGAAATGAATAAAAGCTTCGCTTGAATGAAAATGGATAATAGGAATTGAAATTTTACGCAATTTTTTTAAAAAACGATTTTTCGTCGAAAATAATTAGAAATGAATAAAGGCTTTGTTTGAAAGAAAACGAATCTTGCCAAAGAATAGGATTTGAATTTTACACAATTTTTTAATAATTAGATCTTGTAAAGAATAGGATTTTAAATTTTATACAAATAAACCCGAATTTTCGTCGAAAAATAATTAGAACCGATAAAGACTTCGTTTAAGCAAAATTTTACAACTTACAAGTGCGCATGTCAATATTGTAATATATATTAGTCGCCTGATCATATTAAATTACGTATTTGACATATCGATATTTGTTACTGGATCTTATTATTATTATTCCGAAATATATAACTTAATTTTTTGCCAGGAATAATGATAACAGCTGTAATGAAATCTTCGCACTAAAATCTGCCAATCATATGAAAGTGATAAATCATCTCAATCTAAACTTATATATAACTGAGATAAAATTTTTCTGTCCAGGCAATACAAATGACAGAGGCAGATCCGAAAAGAATTCATACTTTGCTTCGTGAATTACAGAATTTAATTAAAAATGCACAGGAACAATGGGGCGTCACATTAACGGGACAGGGAGCCATTAACGACAAGCTTAAAGCATTTACTCCAATTGCTAATGGTACTGCCTGCAATTTTATTAGTTCGAGTATTATTTGTAAACTGACTGCCATTTGACTTTTTTTTAGCTGTTCATCCACTTGGACCTGTTAATATAGTCGGTTTATCTACAGAATTCTCGCAGAAGATTGCTTCGATACGCTCGACAATATCTAATTTTCGAAATACAACTATACAAGATATATCACAACTCAATTTGAGTATTGGATCTGATTCGTTATTAAAAAAATATCAATATACTTTAAAGGTAAGATAAACTTCTCACTATAATCGTTCATGTATTGGCATAGGCTTTTACCTTCTTTAATTATAAGGAAGAATCAAATAATCTCAATACGGTTTCAGAAGTTCGAGATAATATCAAGATCTGCAAAGAGTTAGCTTTAGATATATGTCAAGATAGCCAGGACACATTTAAATTCGTAATCCAAGAGACAAGTACTTTTTGTAAACAACTCGGGTGTGTCTTCTATGTATTATTTTATCTTCATACCTATTTTCTAGTTCTAACTTAGCGATATTAGACTTAAAGTGTGGGACGCAGAACGAAGTCATGGTTCCACTCTTACATTATCGATAAGTGGATCTATTTTCGTAATGGATGTAAGTAATTATTCTAAAATTGAATGTAAATAATTTTTTTCAACTGCCCTCAAATAGATGAAGTTCTCTTACAAAATTGTTTTCTAAAGACATTTATTTGTTGTATTAATTTCTATAAAAAAATTTTTTTTTGGAGATCAAATTTGATGAGACAACGCATAAAATAGTTCAAGTCATAATTACTTACACGCACACACCCAAAGATGATAATCGCGTGCGTTCATTTATTATTTGTAATACAGCAATTTTTATAACCACCATCTTCAATTGACATTTGTCCATAATACCTGCAAAGATTGACAATTTGCTGACACTACAATTGAGGTATGTTTTCATCTTAAAATTCCTTTAACATAGTATTTGTTTTCAATATTGATTCTGATATTTACTTATTATATAAGCAATTTCCGGTATTTTAAATTGTTCAAAAAAAATCTTCAAGCACTGGCAACACTAGATACGTTATCTAAAATATTTAGTGTGGACTGTTTTCACTGTATAAAATGCATATCTAATGATATTAAGTCAATATATGAGAAAGAATTGTATGTTTCATGTTAGCAATTTATAAAAATTACTATTTATTTTGTAAATTAAATGATATTCTTCCTTCTTTCCATATTATTTAATTTATTGCCGATGTTAGTTCTGCTTTGGCTGGAGATATCCAAAAAATATTAACTGATGGGCACGGAATTCCATTGTTTCATGTGGAGCGAGTTGGTCCTTCAATTGCTTATTGGGCACCTAAGTACCGCATTAGTGAAACAGATTGGAATAATGTTAAGGATATTATTGTGAAAGGTAGCGGTTAATGTAAATTTTTCTATTTATATAGATTTATATAGATTTATATAGAGTAAAATACTAAATACTTGACTTTAGGTGATAGCTGTGAGAGTCTCAGTTCATTCTATCAATTATGGGTTATGATGGAAGAGTCACGATCAAGAAATACTTTTTTACCCATCGAAAGAAATCATTATTTAATCGAAGAAAACGATAATGAATTTGAGTTGTTAGAAAGGTAATTTGTGTAATTGACTTTATACTATCTGTTTTATATAGTTCATGAAAATTTGCCTTATTAATCAAACTTTTTGCATGTATAAGTTATGACTTCATGCCCCAAGATCTTACGTTTCCACTGCTTCCAACACCACTGAAGTTCTTACAGCAGCCAAAGGATGGTTCACAAACGTCCGCAAACATACAATTTGTTTTATGGCTTTTTCCACCAGTGTACGTTACAGACACAGTAGCCAAAGAAATTGAAGATTTGGCAGGTATTACAATTTAATTTGTTCAATTGACCTAAATATATACTAGATCAAATGTATATGTAGAAAACTTAAGTTGTATTGTTATGTCAGGATTTTTTGGGAGCAGAATCATGACAGATGATCCTAAAAGTTTGTCTCTGGAACAACTTTTGGTATGTATTCTCAGCTCGCATTCTTGTTATTATAAGATAAGCTACTTACACCATGTACACCATGATGGTAGATATCAGATATAATTCCGCCGGCTAAGATGACTCGCGGATCAGCTATGGATATTAGTTGGGAAAAAGTATACATCACTTTAATATGATTATGAACACATTTTTATTGTATAACATATGGCATAATAATTTTTTTTTTTTAGAAATTTGAAGATTCTCCCTATATTCAAATGTATACTCTAGACATGAAACACACAAATGCTAAAAAAATCGAGCGTATTCCTTTCATTTACCCTTTTCAAATATTTAGTTATATTGAGGTTTGTTATGGTCATATGTTGTTATTTTGATTTTAACATGATAGCACTTTTATATATTTTTGTATTATATTTATTAGATATTACGCCAACAACTTGTTTATAATGCTCTATTTCAAAGCTGTTTTAACTCTTCTACTTATTGTCCACAACAAAGTTCATCAAAATCATCTGCCACCACTTTCGAAGGTTTGATACGTATTCTTTGTTTATCTATTTCTTACATTTTTTATATTAAACCATTCCTGACTATTATTCTATGCACAAAACATTATTACGAAAAGTTAATTCTAATACAACAAAAGTTAAAGTTAAGGTTCAAACAACAAATCCACCTCTTTTATTATCTGTATCTTTTCAGTTACCAGATACTATGACAGACGTCTTACTGCAAATTAATATTTTGCGAGATTGTCAACTTTATGTTATTTCCCAAAATCAACTTTGGGAAGATAAGGGCAATACTGATACAGTTTTAACTCAAACGTTACAACTATGTCACGATGTGCCGGTTTTGGTGAAATGGATACTTAATACATCAGTTAATGATTTTAAATCGATTAAAGAGGAGGACTTAATGGAACTTTGATAATGGACAATATCGTCTTGGACTCTGTTATGAAAAAGGTATAGGTACTAATGAGAATAAAGAAGAAGCATTTAAATGGTATCTAAAATCTGCTGAAGATGGTAATTAATACTTAAGGTAGTATTGATACTAATAGATCACCTTGTTGCTGAGTTAGAATTATTGACTATAATAAATATTTGTTTACTAATTTCGATATTTAAGATAAAAATATTATTGTTAAAATCATTGACGATTTCCTTTCGAGATTCCTCAGCTATTTTTTCCTTCATTCTTGCACGTTCTTTGAATTTTCTCAAAAATTCTTCTAATGCAATTTCCAATTTTTCCAATTGTTTCATCATTTGTGAGGACTCATTGTGTGACATTTCAAGGATAGAAGATTTTTGAAAATTGACAACTTTTGCTTTCCATCAACTTCACGTATGGTGGATTTCACGATCTTATTATTTTCTTTAAGTTGGCGTTTTGCTTCATCATATGGCGATTCGATGATATTTCCTACGACTTTATTTAAAGTATTAACACATTTATATGCCTCTTCAGGCTCATTATTTCGAGATATTTGTTTAATTATAATGTCATGAAGATTTTTTCTAAATTCTTCGCCTGTAGCCACGTTAAAAATGTTTATCAAGAAACTGGTAAACGGATTTAAATCGCTAAAATGCCTATTTAAATGAGAATGATCAATTACAGGTTTTCATTCGCACGCATAATTTCATTGTTTCCACAATTGTAATCATCCGATCATAAATACTGTAGAACAGTGTTGTCACTGGAGGACTGGAATCCCACTGGACGTCCAGATTCCAGATTCTTCCAGCATTCCGTGAGAAACCCGATTTTCTCACTGGAATTTATTCATCTGATTGGCTAATCTAAACGGGACTATTGGCCAATCAAATTAATTGGTGACAAAGCTTCCAACTATTCAATGCGGTTTACTTTCCAACTTGTCTTTTTGATACTCAATTTCACAATAATTCTTTAGTTAGTTAACAAAGTCTAACATTATCGCACGATCTATGTTGGATTATCCAAATTATTCTGGTTATTAGAAATGACCGACCCGCTCAAATTTTAATATCTGCTCACTATCTTCAGTGATTGATTTGAATCGGCCAATCAGAAGCCACTGGAAGTCACTGGAAGTCACTGGACGTCACTGGAACTTCCAGTTCCACTGGGATATTCCAGTGAACAACACTGCTGTAGAACTTTCAAAAATATTATGATCTACAATATTTTTCCATATTTTTTTTTTTACGAATTTTGTGTAGGATATTTGTATGATTAATTGCCTGGGCAACTTTTTAAAGTAATTTGAAAACGCTAAAAAATTAACATTAATATTATCACATTATACTACTGTATATACTGTAGATGCAATTATCTAAAAATTTTTTCTTTTAATTGTTAATTTTATTCAAACAAATTTGCCTACAAACTTTTGATCAAAATTGTTTTTGGGAATACAACTTAAATACACTAAATAATAATGTACCTCCCCCTATAATCCTATTACCGGACAAACTACTTGCCAAGAGCTTTTAGTAAATACCACTTTTAGCTATTTCCAACAGCACCTCATCTTTATTTTTCTTTAGCGTGGTGAAATCACCTTAGTAAAAGTCAAATCACGAAGTAGATTAGTGGTGGCAGAAAAATGTCGAGATCAAATGATTGGTGCTCATTTCCGACCTCTCAAAAAATCCGATAGAATTTTGTTTCTTCCCTTAACATATTTCGAGTGCTAAAGTTGAATTATGATTATTATATTCATATTTTGATGCTCACTCCGAACTAGCCCACATATTCATTGATCTCGTGATCTCGACATTTTTCTGCCACCACTAGTCAACTTATTAATGGGCGGATCGATTTATTGATATCTGATAATTTTAAACGGCACGGCACATCCATGACGTGATTAAGTCATTTAAATACGCCACTTTAACAGAGATAAATGTGTAGTTGTAGGCAAATTTGTATAGAAAAGTCTATCTTTAAGAGAATAATACGTATTGATTTGAAAATTATTACAATAACTGATACAGTACTAGGGGTGTTCAATACCGGGATGCTATATACGTATATATCTCTCAAAAGCTGTTTAGAATTCAAAAACCTTATACTGAAATTTAAAACTTTATATAAAACTTCTACGTATCTTATTCTAAACCTGTCTAACCGTAGCGATGGGAATTTCTAATTATTAAATATGAATTATTAACAATTAAAAATTAATTAATAAGTTAACAATAATTTCTAAGCTACGTATTAATAAATGAATTATCCAATATGCATAGAACATCTTCGTAATCAATAGCTTTTTTAAAATTTGTCGATTTTCTATAAACCGTTGATCGCATCAATTAAAAAGCTGTAGTGGAAGATTATATCGCTGATATAGAACTACAGTATTATTAATTAATTTTTTTTATCGCTACAAAATCATTTTTATTTAGAGTACATAAAAGATATTTGGAAAATACGATTTAATTCGCTGATTACGCATTCTATTGATACTTTCTATGCATATTGGATAATTCAATTATTAATTGTTAACAATGATTTATTAACAATTTCATGTTACAAAAGATCCTGGTAGATCTGCTTTTATCTGCATTATCCATTATTAGATTGGCAAAATCGATGATCGGACAAATAACTCAATTTGGTTTTACCTTGCTGCTCGGAACGAGGACTGTAACAATTAATAATTAGAAATTCCCATCGCTATATACTCTCTATACGTCTTAATTATTAAATAATTATATACTGTATAGCGATCATAAAGTACCCCCATATATTAGTATTCGGGTATTATATTAGTCTAAACCAATATATACCGGGTATTATAGCATTCACATGGTCTTAAAAATTTTAAATTATTTTAGGGATCGATCTTGCGGTTGGCAGGAGTTTCCTAGTATGTACTTTATGGAGCGCTACGTTGGGCACTATGTAAATCAAATTTATGTATAGTCCTATATGAACATTTGAATAGACAATTTTTTGTGTAATGATCATAAAATATGGGCGAATCTATTTGTCGCCGGCAGTTACAAAAGTCTTAACAAAAAATGTTCATTGCATAATTTTACTATATATATGACCTTTCTAACCCTAAATATAACTGTAAATAAAATCCGGGTGCTGTCACTACCAGTGACAAATAGATTATTTCAATAAATCAAATAAAAATTTAATAAAAAATTTTTTTAAAAAAAACGCTCTATTTGTCTAAAATATACGTTCTGCTGAGCAATCGAGCAAAATTTTTAATCTAGTTAATGTGTAATTTACGGAGGAGATACAATTTGAAGTTTATAAATCTTATATTAAACGACTATAAAAAATTATCAAATTTCAAATTGTATCTCTTCAATAATTTACATATTAACTTCTTTAAAAATTTTACTCAATTGCTCAACAGACCCTATATTTTAGACTAATAGAGCGCTTTTTTTAAAAAAATAAAAAATTTATAATAAATTCGATAAAAATTTGTCGAAATTTGAGTTTTTTAATATGAATCATCGTCTTCATTACACGAAAAAATTTCACTAGTTATTTTTACTATGAGACTATACATAATTTTGATTTACATAGTGTATCGAACTACGTATTCCTGCCAATTTATTTCTCTCATTGCCAATTTAATATATATCGATATTACAGAAAAAAGAAGTTAACTTTATTAATCTGGAGTAGCAAAGCCATGAATTCACGATTCACTATTATTAATGCTTCTCACTTCGTGAGGAATCACGAGATGATTAGCCAATCAGATTTTGGATTTTTTCTTTAGCTAGATAAGCCTAATAGGAATTCGGGAAATGACTATGAATAAAATGCACGTGCAAAAAAATATATTATTTTTTCTAATTGTAGAGTCTGGACAAGTTTGTTCGAGCTCATCAAAATTGTGCAGAAGCAGGATCAGCATCAGGCTAAATTTATCTCTGATAGACAAGCTTGTCCAGGCTTGTCAAAACTGCACAAAAGAATGAATGAATTGTGTGGCATAGTACAGCATATCAAGTGATAATTTATGGTGCAATACTTCGCAATAAACATATTATATATTTCAAATGCATTCACACCTTTGCAAATCAAATAAAAGTATAATCCGTTTTTGAGACTTGCAGTTCAGGTTCATTATTTTTAATGATTTTATATTTTGTCTGTAAAAATCAAATCATTAAGTAATGAGATCCATCTAGCTTTAACAAAAATTCTAAATATACTGTACCCTGCTGAGCAACCAAGCTAATACCTTTTGCAGTCAATTGAATGTATAAATAACTATCAAAAGTAAAAAATAGATGATACGAATAAGTGAATGCAAAGATATCTTTGTTAACAACTAGTAGAAATACTCTTATTTACCTCGAAATTAGCTAACAATTAACACACTTTCATGTGATTAATCTTATTTCTTTCATTCTTGATATGAATAAGCAGCTCTTGCAATCTCTGCTCAGCTTTCTCTCATGAAGTATGTGAGTAGCGCATTTCTTTGCAAAAATCTTTCACTTTAAAGTGTTTGATGTAGTCACGTATCCAATTCAGGTCCATACTATTTTATAAAATATCAGAATTTTAGGTACCTGTAATCAATCAATCTCTCTAACACATCCTAATTGGATAAAAATCATGAGAGGGTAAAATTTTTTTAGATCAAAACACAAAAGTATTGTTTTTGATAGATCTGTGGTTGCTTTTTTTGATAGATCTAAAAGTACCTAAAATTGAGTTACATTTTTGATACATTACATATTAGCATATTTACTGTAAAATCCAGACACATATACTTAGTATTAGGCTGGACAATTGGATATAAATATTGGACTACACTTGTCCAGTCTAGTAACTTGAATCGGTTAAGCTATAATCAGTTAACCGACCCAAACTGAATAAATTTTGGGCAACTAATTGAGAAAATTCTTAATCAGTTAACTCAATACAACTAGTTGGCGGGATCAATATGATATGAGAAATGTCAAAATAATATAGAAGAGAGTAAAGTTCCAAAAAGTTCTGACAAGAAAATAAATAAACATAAAAGACAAGCAGGTCAAGACAAAAATTAGAATAATGCTCCAAGAATTTTCGAAGGCCAGTTGGTAGTTGGTTAAATAAAATAATTAGGTTTGGTTAACCAATTAAGAGAATTTTTTCTCAGTTCAAATCACTAGTCCAGTCTAGTCCAGTTCAATCTATTGGACCAAAAGGTATTGAACAATAATATATAAACCAATATATAATAATTATTGAACATATTGGACTGGATATATGTTCAAGTCTAATATCTAGTTTAGTCCAATAGCATAAAAATAGTTGGACATATGTTCAGTGCCAACACTGCATATACTCTCCTATTTATAAGCAAACTTTCGTATATAGCAACTTATCTAATCTTTCCAACCAAACCAAATTTAAATAAGTATACTATCACTTATTATATTTTTTGTTTATTTGTTTACATAATGTCTACTATACTTCTGACATCAATACCATGTAAGTCTTATTATCCTTATTATAGTACAATCAATCATGTATACATATTTAAAGCCCAATTGGGTAAATTGTATAATGATCACCAAACAGAAAGACGGATAATTTGAATTGCAAATCATGTAGTGAAGTAATTACACATCGCCTAAAAGATGACATAAAAAAATAATGAGAAACTTCTAAACCAAATAAATAAGCA